GAAGCCTGCATTTCTCATATATAAAATAGAAAGGTCATCGAGTTTGTTAGCAGAGGTGGAAAAAAAGGGCTAAAATTTTGTCTATTTATTATTAGGTATATAGATTGAGAAAAACGCATCTCTAACAACTTTCAACCTCGGCTCCCAATCTTTTGGCACTTAGAAAAAAGAAGCCCATCGCGCGAAAAAATACGCGATGTAGTCTTTGCCGCGCATCTTTGATAACCCATGTTGTTTTTTGGTCCATTAAATTGTCTGACGATAATATCAAAGCTTAAGTAGCTCCGGTATCTTCTCAACTTGTGATAGGAAATCAGTGAGGAAATTGAAATCAGCAATAATGTTTATTGAGGAAAACTTGGGAGTAGCAATACAAGATTGATGAGGACGTGCATATTCGTGAGATTAAGCATGATATCTGTTGTAGTCTCAGAGTATCATTGGAAATTTAGGAGCTTAAAGATAAAGTACATATCAAGGAATTGTTTCCTAGCCACAACTTCGAAGAGCACCCAACCCTTAGTGTGGATCAGCAATCCTGTATACGATGTTTTTAACGGTAAATCAGAAAACTAAATAAGGTATCCCACAGCTTCATAGACAGGGTTCACTGTCCTCGCAAAAACAACAGGCACCCTAAGTATCATTCATCAAGTGAATATGAACAAAGAATATTTTTTGAACTTAAGGTTGGAAACTTGATACTACAATTAGGACGAGAAATGTATATGAAAAGGCTTATGGCAGCATGATATCCTTTGTATTGTACTGTGTTATCCAAATGAATTGTTAATTATGTTATCTAAAATATCTGTTCGCTGGTATTGTTGAAGAGCAGTGGTTAAAATTTGAAAATTAGTTCTGATTTTGGTATGTACACACAAGCTGAGAGGACGGAACACTACTACAGATCTGACATTCACTGTCGGCTCCATCACTGTCTTTTTTTTTGTCTAAAACCGGTACTGATAGGACCAACTCACACTGATATTCGGGTTTTTACTGTCGGTTCATATCACTGTCGGTTTTAGCTAAGAACCGGCAGTGATATTGGGTCATCGCTGCTGGTTCACGGCTTGAACTGATAGTGATATGCTAAAAAAAACTTTATAACATTCTCGTATGATGTCTGATGAAGACGAACTTTATATCAAAATCATAGTACTCGATGAGATCTATAACTTTGTAGTTAAAACTTTTTTAATTTGAGATGGTTTTGATATCTAAATATGCACCACAAGATTTTGTAGAGTTTATACCAAAGGAGTCTATATGCTCCATAGTTATAAGTGAGTGTGAAGTGGTAGTTAAAGATCTAAGATGAAGAAGCGCCCAAAACAAAAGTTGTAGATCTCAAAAAGTTATGCAACTTTGTAGTCCACAACTTTTTTGTCTGAAGTCATTATGATGTCCATCTATTTGATTCGCAAGATTTCATAGAAGATATCACCAACTAAAGCCATACGTTCTATAGTCATAAGTGAGTGTGTAGTTATATTTAGGGATCTCGGATGGAGAAGCGCTCAAAACAAAAGTTGTAGATCTCGAAAAGTTATGAAACATTGAAGTTGACAACATTTTCATTTGAAATTATCTATCTAACAAAAATTACGTTTGATTTCTCAAATTTTAAATTTGAATTTTTCAAACCATCTCGGATGGAGAAATGCACAAAACAAAAGTTGTAGATGTTGAAAAGTTATGCAATTTTGTAGTTGACATTTTTTTCATTTGAAATCATCTATCTAAGCAAAATTACGGTTGCATTTTCTCACATTTGAAATTCAAAATTTTCAAATGATGACCTCGGATGGAGAAATGACCAAAATTAAAGTTGTAGACCTCAAAAAGTTATAAAACTTTGTAGTTGGCAAATTTTTCATTTGAATTCATTTTGGATCCCAAATATTCATTTCAAAACCAGAGTGACATAAAATGAGGAGAACAAATATCCCCACCAAACACAAGCGTCTTACAGGTGGATTAGTTAGGTGATGAACACGTGAAGCAGGAGGTTGAGGGTTAGATTGCATGGAGGCCTCATCAACGGCATCCCTTGTTGGATCCATGAATCCTTGGTCAACAGGGACAGGCGCCGAGGCGAGAGAGCGGGCAGGGGCGGGGGGGGGGGGGGGGTCAGCAATGGCGGGCGCCGGTGGGAGCTCGCGACGACGAGGACAGGGCGTTGGCAGGGACTGTGTCTGCGGGGACAGGCCACCGACATGTTCCGCCATTTGAGGGGACATGATGCCGTCGAGGGCGCGCCGTCCGTGCGGACACGTTGCTGGCAGGGGCGCGGTGTGACGACGGGGAGTTCACGTGGAGAAGCTCTTTTGCGCGCGGATGGGATGGGAACCGATGCGCGCGGGATAAAAAGAAAATCTAGGGTACCTAGAACAAAAGTTTAGAGCACTTTAGCTCAGATTTTTGGTCTAATGCTCTATTGACCTTTTAAGGGGTGGGCTAAAGTTTAGACCTTATATGCAATTGAGGTTACCGGAACCTAGATGAGAACTCGGTACAAGTTTAAGGACCGCTAGTGAGATTTACTGTAAAAATTATCTGAACTGAATTGTACTTCAAAGACCTTTTAATACGTATGATATTGACGTCATGGCGATTTGATAATGTGTAAGAGAAAATGATGGTCAAAGTACATCCATAAATGATTTTTTTTTCTAAATCCCAATACGCGTACTAAAAACGAATGGAGGAGATACCATTAGAGGTGCTGTCTCTCGATATGAATCTAGTGACATTTTGCTATGGCGTGGCAATCTTGGGCACGATGACATTATACTATTATTGACCGGGAGTATCCTTAGTGAAAGTTTGTTTTTTTCTCTCTCCTTAGCTTATGGTCCATCTTTATTTTCTTTCTTGTCTACAACAAGTCATCAACAATCCCTATTAGTGAAAATATTATACAACTTAGGCCCTGTTTGGTTGAGCTGTGGATTTTAAAAAAGCTGCTGTGAGCTGTGGGCTGTGGAAAAGCTGCTGTGGGCTGAGAGCTATGGGAAAAGCTGAAAGCCGTTTGGTTAGAGCAGCTGTGAAACTGCAGGATGTGTAGAAATGTCTGTAATGCCCTTAAAGGCCTGAGGGACTATTTATATTCAAATTGCTTGTAAATAAATATTGTACTCACTTATTTGTATGTAAATGACTATTTTGGTAAGGAAAAATAAATTTGTTCCAAGTTTTTTAGTATTCAAAGTGATTTGGTCCATACAAATATAATAATATTAGCATTTTACAAAAGATAAGGGCTCATCAAATCATGTCATCCCTCAACATAACTATCTCACACTAAACAAAGCATCGGCTATTCTACTACGAATGATATTCATGGCATCCTCATTCTCCACATCTTCAATCTCATCTTCCGGTGTCGTGTCATCCTCTTGTACCAAGTATTCATCATCAGCATCACATCTTTCGAACTCCTTATCATGCAAATTGCTATCACGAATAAAATTATGCAATGCCAAACAAGCAAGAATGATGTGCTTCTGAGTACGAGTTGAGAAACTTGGTATGCCCTTCAAAATACGCCACTTCTCCTTCAATACTCCAAAGGCCCGCTCAATGACATTTCGAAGGGATGAATGATTGAAATTGAACACCTCATATTTCCCTTGGGGTGGTCCAGAACGATTACGAAATTCTGGAATATGGTATGTGCTTCCTTTGAAAGGGGCCAGATACCCTGTTCGGTTTGAATATCCAGAGTCCACAAGATAATATTTCCCTACAAAGTAAAATCAATGTAAACAAATAAATAATACAAGTACCTCACGTACTGCTGGTCCAACCATTAGGAAGCAAATACGTAATACGTGTGGTATGTGTATACCTTTAGGAGGCACAGGAAAATCATCAAAATTTGCCAAAGCATGATTGAGGATACGTGTGTCATGGGCACAACCGGACCAACCAAAGAACCGCAAAGATAAACCTCATGTCAAAGTCGCAAAACAGCTAGCAAATTCTCGAGATGTATATCCATGACGGCATGTGTGATTAACCGTATCCTCACCGCACAACCATCGGAACATGTGAACCGTCTATTGCTCCAATAGCGCCTTTGAAGTATGGCCGTAAACGGTCTTCTTTGATTCTTTCATGTTCAAGAAAAGTAGCATCTCTTGGCTTAATATTGTCTTTACCTAACTTATGCAAAAACACTTCAAAGACCTCATGAAACTTAGTGTGGACTGTCCACGGTGAACGAGTGAAGCGATTTTCCACTTGTGAAAATGATTGCGGTCCTCCGACAATCCACAAGAACATCGCCAATGACTCAATGGATGAAACATTGTTAGTGGAGGTCAAACCATAGTTCAAGACTAGCAACTCATGCAATGCCATGAAGACATCGGTGCTCATTCAAACATCTTATAGAAGTACCTTGGACGAGAAAAGCACCTCATCACCCATTGCAGTCCAGGTTTACGGGTTTCCACATACTCTCCTTTGTTCCAATAACAATCGGTGTATTGTGCACCCATTTGACCAATAATGGCAGCATCTTTGGGAAAGCTCAAACTAGGAGTAGCAATCTCTTCTCGTCCTTGGGCTACACCTTCCGTGTTCTCATCCATCTACAAAAAATATTAACATTTATTAAGCTCAAGACAAGGATATATATCCTCACACAATGATAATAAGCTCACAAAGACAAGGACAAAAATATATGTATACATGCACATGGATACTAATCGGCAGAAGGATAATAAGCTCACAATACAAATAATTTTAGTATAAATTGTTCTCAAAGACAAGCAAATTGTTCTCAGTACAATTTAAAATTGGTTCAGTAGCCATACAACTAATAGTGCTCACAATACAAATTCTTAATGGTTCACACAAAGAACAATAGAAATAAAAATTGGTTCACTAGCGCCTCATCTCCTTCTCATGCTCTCTCTCAAGGACATCCAAATTTTCCTTTGTTTGTTTTCGGATGGTCAAGACCTCTCTAAATTCAGGCTTCATGATCAAAGCATGGTGGCAGTGTGCATTAGAGGAGTTCCTTCTTCCACCCCACACTCTTCGACCATCTTCATAGCCTCTCCAATAGTGGGGACAACATTAGTGGGAGAAGCTGAGGTGGCAGATGCACTAGAGATCCTATCTGCTGCACTTTCTATCTTCAAACATGTGTTTTTGTACATTCGATAAAATGGACTCTTTTCTTCTTTGCTTTCAGCAATAGTACAGGAGCTCTTGCGTTTCCTTTTCCCTTTTTGCTTCAAATCAGCCAGCTTGACATCATCTTTAGGTGGAGGTTTTGGCACCTCGGCCACGCAATCATCACTCTCATCCGAAGATATATCACCAGGACAAGCTGCAGTGGCCCCAGTCACATGTACCTTGCCGAAAATCAGATCAAGATCATCAAGGTACTTCGGTCCTTGTTTTCTGAACCTCACATGATTGCATTTAAGCCCTTTTTCACGATTATTGCACCTCTGAAATTGAATGAAAAATTTTAGCACGACACACCATATCATACTATGGACAAAATATCAACAGAAATAGTGCTTACAGCAAGGTGTTCATCCCACCAATCCTGGGGGCAATCAACAGTTCCCTTAGCCGCATCCCATCCAAGTCCAGTGGCATAATTTTTTAACTCCATGAACCAAACATATTCTTTTTTTAAGTTATCTAATTTGTTCTTCAATTGTATCTTTGTTCGCTTGTCACCAGTTTTGGCTTCAAACTTGGCTACAATATTTTTCCAACCAGTGCTAGTCCAAAGCCCCTGGGGCCTATTCCCAGCTTCTATCTCCCCTTTGCATACATCAATCAAATGCTTCAAAAAGAAATCACTCCAATCTGCCTTGTCACCCATTCTTGAATCAAACAAAACAAAATTTTCAGACATTCTAATTACTATAATATCATGCCATTATTTCTATCAAATACACAGCACACTGAACTGAGAATAAATAACATGTATCTGGAAGCGTAGATCGATGGAGCTTGGACTTGGTTTGCCAATGTCGTTGATTAACAGGCTTCTTATACAGTTAAACAGCTTATAGTTCCGTTTACAAATAGGAATACCTGGATGACGGTCTTGGAGCCAACAAAAGCCTCTATCTTCTTCCAGTCACGGTCAAAGCTGAAAAGAAAAGAAACATAGTTGACACACGAATATTACATGCAAGATGTGGTCTTATATTTCACTGACAATTTTTTGGGCCAGGTGTATGGATTCAAGAACAGTAAATGGTGTGCTCTTGGGGCAACAAGGCACGTTATCATCACAATCATATGCAAAAGGCAGCGATCATACGCACCGAAAAAAAGTTGTGCAGAGATAACGATAGTGTGAGCACATGAGGCTATGGGAGTTTGGGACCAAGAGTGGCATCATGACAACAAATCATGATGCTCAAAGACGTCAATAAATTCAGGTGTCCAATCAGGACCAAGTTAATGCTTGCAATCAAAATACTATGAAGCGAGAGAATGAGAGAAGCGAATCGCTAACAACCCGTGTGTGTAAGAGTGCATTCTCGAAGGCCATCCGCAAAGTATATGCTTGATAAAGATGCACGCCTTTTCAATTGGACAGATGAGATGCATGATTTTTGGATCCTGCTTAACTTGTGTCCGCAGACTAATTGCAAGAACACATGCTTTGCTGGCTTAGAGAATCTAGTGTGCCCTACCCAGGCAAATGACACCACCAGTTGAGCAAAGAGCACTACTGCACTAGAGTCTTCATCAGTTGAAATTCCAACATCCACAAATTAACGCATCAAAAAGCCCGGCGCATCATCCCAAGACATTAAAAAATAAAAATCCACAACGACACAATTAATGCATCAAAAAGACAGAAAACATCTAGTCTTTTAGCCAGAATACACCACAAAGCCCGCGCTTCATACCTGTGAAACGCATAAGCGCCAGCGATCGAAACAAAAGCGAAACCCAAGTGAGGGGTTGCGGTCTGCTTACAGCTGCAGGGCCTCGAGGAACTTATCGTGCTCTTGCTCCGTCCAGCTCTCCCGGGATTGAGAATAAATAACATGTATTAAACCATTTATGAGAGATTGAGATACCTTCTGTGTAGATCCGGTCACTGGAAGCGTAGATCGATGGAGCTTGGACTTGGTTTGCCAATGTCGTTGAGCCCAGGAATCGCTCTTAGCAGCAGAGTGTTCTGTGATGAAACAAGAAAAAAAAGGAAAAGGCTTCTCTTTCAGAAGACAGGACCTTTATCTATCATCCGCGACTGCAATCGAACACTATACGTGGATAGAAGGAAAGGAGCTTGTTAATCCAAGAAAGCTAACCTGCTTGTCAAGTGGGTGGCGGAAGTCGTCGAGGCCCGACCTCGACCTGCAACCGAGAAGGGGCAGAGACAGGGACTCCCGCCGGGGTGACCAGTAGGGCGATGAGGATGGGGACGGCGCCGGAGAGGATGGGGATGGCGCCGGAGAGGACCGGGCGGCGCCGGAGAGGACCGGGCGGCGCCGGAGAGGATGGGGACGGCGCCGGAGAGGACCGGGCGGCGCTGGAGAGGACCGGGTGGCGCCGGAGAGGATGGGGACGGCGACGGAGAGGACCGGCCGCCGCCAAACCCTAGCTCTGCCTGGGCGTCGCCACCTGCGGACAGACGAGTCGTCTCGCGCGGACGGGAAGAAGAGGAAAAGATCGAAGCGTTTTCTTTGTAACCCGTGGCAGTGCGGGTAATTTTCATCCTCCACAGCCGGTGAAAGCAGCCCTCCCCCTGCTGTGAAAAATGAACTACCCAAAAGCTAGCTTTTGTACAATTCAGTACCACCTTTGCAACCCTTTGGTTAGCTTTTTGACTTCTGAAAAAGCTACAGCTGGTTGGAAGCTGAACCAAACAGGCTCTTAGTATACGGATGTGAGACAGAAATTTCGAAATAGGAGACGCGCGCGGGGCCACCCTCCTCGGGCTGGCGATCGATCTTGCGTGGAAGCAGCAGGCAGGGGTCAGCACTCAGCACCTGCAGCTCCCATCGCCGGATGCTTTTGCATGCAGCCGCCGACAAAGTGTAGTCGGGCTGCGGATTCACTAGGAAGCCAAGATGAGATAGAGCTGGAAGCTACCGTGTGGACGCAGACGGCGAACTCAGTCCAGCTCCAGCCTGGACAAGGCGTTGTCGTCCCCTGCTTCTCCTACAAACTCCAGCCTGGGCGGCCGGCTGTCTCCTCGGCCCAGCTCTGCATCTGCTGGTCGTGGTCGTCTCCTCTCGGCTCTGTCGCGCGGCTCGTAGCCATCGCCCATCGGCGAGGAGCGGTGGCACCTAGGACGACCTACTAGCTGATCGATCGCCTGGACAGATCCGCCATGAGCAGCAGTTAGTGATCTCTCTCTCTATCTAATATATACTATGATCAGTCTCTCTCTCTCTCTCTCTCTCTCTCTCTCTCTCTCTCTCCTCATGATCTGGTCAACTCAACCCATCTGAATCATATAGTTATATATGATCGATCTTATTTCCACCTCTAATTTCACAGACGAAATTAGCGCTAGCAGTGAATTTGTTCATTTGTTGCATCTTGTGAGCGATTAATTGCATCGACTTTTATTGTATCCTGCGACTAAGCCTGCCATACGCTCTTTCTTCTCTTTCGGCTCTTCAGAGGACTACTACGTTGGCCACCCAGCCACGTACACGTACACGGCGCCGGCGCCGGCGCCGGGAACTAAACAAGCATCTCAGGTCGCCGCCGGCGGTGAGCAAACTCCAGTGACAGTGACCACCCAAACTCCTGGTCCGTCCATGACTGCTTGCTCACTTTGTGACTGACGATTCATTTGAGATCCATGAACTAGATAGCTGTGTGTTGTGAAATATTCGTGATTGCAGGAGCAACAACGAACAACTACTTCGTGGGTCACCCGGTGAACCCTGAGAAGACGTCGACGCCACAACCAGCACATCCAGCTGCGTCTCCACCTAGAGCAACTTTCCTACCTACGGATCCCATTCGAGCTCGCATAGACTGATTGTTCTCTTTTTTTTTCTCCTAGTGCTAGTACTGAATTGATTAGCGATGATACATAATCTCTCTTTCTTTTCGATCCGTCTCCGGCTGCAGGTTCCCATGCGTCTGCGGTAGTCGAGCTCCTGAGCAATAGGGTCGAGAGCTGTTGCAGCGGCGGAGCGTAGTCAGTCAACGGGTGAGAGGATTCAAGTGAACTGCACGGGGAGGAGCTTCATTCTGTACCTGAATTGCATTATTGTCCAATACGAAAGAAGCTGATATTTTTCCTTCTGATTGGTAATGGATGCAGAATTATTGAAGATTCAATCAAACTGCTGCAAACTCAAATACACTGGTTCCTTTTTTCCCTTGCAAGAGCCATTGATTTTTTCTAGAATAATGCTTTAGCTATCAATATAATACTTTTTGTGATTTAAAAATGTGAATTTAGTAATTGTAGTTTAAAAATGCGAATTTCTAGAATGGCGCTTTAGTAAAAGTAGCGAAGCCAAACAAAGTTCTACACGAAACATTACATGGTCTACGTAGGAAAAAGATGAACGGATTATTTTAAAAATTGACTTTGAAAAAACTTATGATAAGGTCAATTGGACCTTTCTACAGCAAACTCTTCGAATGAAAGGTTTTTCACAAAAATAGTGTAGTTGGCTACAATCCTTTTATACAAGGTGGTAACGGGAATTAAGGTTAATGACCAAATAGGCTCCTACATCTAAAAAAAGGCCTTAGGCAAGGTGATCTACTGTCTCCTATACTATTTAACATAGTGGTCAACATATTGGCTATCATTTTTGCCAGGGCCAAAGAGGATGGACAGATAAAAGGGGTAGTACCTCATATGGTGGAAGACGTGTTGTCTATCTTGCAATATGCGGATGACATAGTGTTTCTTTCTTGATATTGAACAAAAGCACATAACATGAAACTGCATCTCTGCACGTTTGAACAATTATAAAGACTTAAAATCAACTTCCATAACAGAGAAATATGTTGCTTCGGTGAAGCAAAAAATAACGAAGAGGTTTATTCCCATCTTTTTGTCAGCAAGTTAGGTACTTAACCTTTTCGTTACCTTGATATCCCAATGATTTACCATAAGTTAGATAATAAAGACAGGATGAAAGTAGAAGAATGAATAAAAAAAGTCTAAGCAATTGGAAAGGCAAACATTTTCTTTGGAAGAAAGAAAGGCAAACATTTGTCTGTCGGAGGTAGATTAGTGCTGATTAACTTAGTGCTGGTAAGCCTTCCGATGTTTATGCTCTATTTCTTTCGAGATCACTAGAGGTGTTTTGAAGAAAATTGAGCACTACAGATTAAGATTATTTTTGGTGAAATGATTACCACAAAAGAAATTGAGTCCTGCTTTTGTAGCAAATCTGAAACCATTCGACATGTTTTTTTTTTCAATGCTCACATGCCTTATTTTTGTAGAGATCAGTCCATACGGTGGTAGGAATTAAACTACCTTAAAATGCCCAAAACTATTTAATGATCGATATTCTTGAAAAGAGAGAACTTTTTGATCCCTTCTAGTGTCTGGTGTAGCTGCCATTTTATGGTCAATCTGGATAACACACGGAATGAAGTTGCTTTTGACAAATGTCAATCCACATTCTTTTTGCAGGTTCTATTTAGGGAGGCGCACTAGCTTCTGTGCGGGCCCATTTATAACAGTGTGAAAATCAACAAGCACTCATGTTGGGGCTTGATGTAATTCGGAGACCGTAGAATTGAACCTTTTTGCGTCCTCCAGATGGTCTTCAAAATCTAGAATTGGGTCTTGAGTTTATTTTAAAATTTTGTGAGTGTCTTAAAGAGCTGGGTTGTAATAAGTTGGTTTGACTCCTCTTTGACGAGGATAAAGTCGAATTCTTTTTATATTGTGTAAAAATAGACACTACAAAGCATTTAGGACAGAGGAAGTAGTCCGTACCAATCTTTCCCAATAAGAAAACCATTGCACTTAAAAATTTAAAATTCTAAGTCTCAAAAAATTCTTCAATTAAAGTAACAAGGCTTGGCTATTGAAGAAAATTGTTTAAAAAAGATCAATAATATTGGCCATACGCAAAATACACCACGAAAAATATTCAGAATCGGCTGCAATATTTTGTAACCACGGAGGATGTGGCTAATAGTAGTGGTCTTCGCCCGTACGCAAGCGGTTTGACCGTGCAAGGATATTTTCGAAACTATACCAAAACTGTTCAAACATATCGGTATGGTTGGTTTGTCGGAGGTCAGCAATGCACCCAATAACCCGCTGATATTTCGGCCGATGCAATTGATGCTGATGCCTTGTTACGTAGGCCCTTGTCGCTGGGTCAAGGCGTTGTGTTGCATCATCAAGATTCTGCTGTCCAGACCTCTTTTTGCCATCCCAAATTCGCAATAGCAGAGCTAGTAGCAGATTCCACGGCCGGGGCCGTTGTTGGATGATTATTTTTTGAGCCAAGGTTGTTTTGGATAATTGTGCCGGAGCTGAATCATTGCCAGTCTGGCGAGAGAGCTCTCTGTCCCTCTTTGAAAAGTCTCTCTCTCTCTCTCTCTCTTCTTGACTTGTAGCCGTCTCGGTCGTCTCGTCTGTCCTTCTGGCATTCTTGGCCGGCTCGTGTCTTGCCACTTGCCAGCCGCGACGGGAGAGGCTAGGCTAGCTAGGGGGCAAGACCGGAAGAGGCCGTCGGCAGATCCGCCATGAGCAGCGACCAGAAGAGCGATGTTCCTGGTACTCTCTCTCTCTCTCTCTCTCTCTCTCTAACTAGTCTAGAACTCACTCTGTTTCCTTAATCCTCTGTCGATGCAGGAGGCTACTTCGTTGGCCGTCCAACCAACCACGCCGCCGAGAAGACTGAAGAACCACCACACGCCGGCGGCGAGCAGAACCCGGTGGCCGCGCAAACTCCTGGCGGTAGGTTCATTCTTTGCCGCTTCAACTCAATTCTTATTCTTATAGCATTGTTTTGTTCAGTTTGCTGGATTGCCGTCATCTTGCCAAATTAAAACTGGACACCCATTTAATTTTATTTCATTTGTCTGAATGTAAGATTACTTCGTTGGGCGTCCGGAGAGCCATCACAAGCAGCAACAAGAAGCAGTGCCGCAGCAAGCCACTAAGCAGAGCACACCAAGCTTCTTGGCCAAATGGTAATCCTAATCTCTGATTACCACTATATATAGTTGTATACACAAGCAACTTACTTAATTAGGCAACATATTGTTGGCACGCGAAATTGATCCGCGCAACAATACGATAACTATCATATTTTATTATGCTATCAACACATATATCGAGTTGATACTCCGTAAATGATAACTTCACATCGACATTCTTACTACTTGTTAGTAACAACTGCCGACTGATGAGTGCTTCTAATCTGTTTCTTTCTTCTCTGTCTCCGGTCTGCAGCTGTCCGTGCCTCGCCGGCAGTGGAGCTGCGGAATAGATCAACAACTGCCTCTTGCTGCCCTGCTAAGGGTGCTCAGTGAATTGTGGACAGGAGGATTGGAGTAAATTTGGGATGAGGCTCTCTATACATCAAATGTGTCTCAATTGCAGCTTGTGCTCTGGAAGCTGCTCTTTTTTTTCCCTTTTCCTCACTGTTCCACTTTTGATAAACTACACGCATCCTTCAACACTGGCACACTTACATTTCAAAAACTGTCAACTGTGTAGTACTATTTACCTTGCTTGCGGTTATTGTGAACTTGTACTAATCATGAATTGCCAATACCGTGTACAAATATATACATGCGTCAAGTTAACCTTGAAGCTCTTTCAGTTATGTCTTGTACATATGTTGTGTTCAAACATCTGGATTTCATTAAACCACTTATACTTAATTAAACCATACATAAATCATAAAAGGCAAGGATTTTTTTTAACATAATCAAATATATTGCTACTGCCTTCATGTACCAGAAAAAAGGTTGAATCTTAGCAACTAATTTTTTTTGCTGTAGTAACAAGGTAGTTTTTAAGGGTTTGAACACATCATAACACGACACGTGCATGTTTAGTAAAAAGGGTAGTTTATTTGTTTAACTTTAGATGTTATGGTACCTATTAGAAGAAACAAAATGGTACTACTTAGATATGAGGTAACGTCGGTTACAGGATTGTGTCCTTGCACGATTTGAATGCAACTTCTGCTGATATGGGTATCTGAATCTGTACTCAGACTTGATCAACGCAGGTAAGACGCAGGTACTTGTTCCACTGCTGATGTGTTTGACAGATGCAATCTGCTAATCTGAACATGCATGAGACAGGCAGCTGTTTCAAAATATGTGTCATTGTTACACAGTATATTGGCCCGTTTGGAACAGCTAAGGCTAACTGTTGGCTAAATTTAGAAATTAGCGAGCTAAAGTTAGTAAGCTACTATTAACCAGTGCATGTGCTTGGAGCTCCAGCTAATAGGTGCATACATCCGTAGCAATGAATTGTTAGCCCTAGTTAGTTAGTTAGTTGTCCTTAGCTAATGGGTTAATAACTAGCCAAGAGTTTGGCTAAGATTTACCCCACCCATAAGCCCTCATGTTAAGATGGACTAAAACTATTTTTTCACTGCTAGTTGTTAGCCTACAGGATCAAACAAATCTTATGACTGGTTGGTTGCATGTGTTCCTTGTTCTTTGGCGATGACTAAGTGACCCTTTTTTTTAATTAGCTTACCGAAGACCGTACCCCATGAACTTGTAGAAGCTCAATGAATAGAGTTTGATATGTTAAGTGGTGTAAATTAAGAAAGTACCAGCAACAAAGCTGGCAGTTATGATTTGTGCTGACTTTAATTAGTATAATTGTGCGCGAAAGATATTTTTATATTAGCGTTTCAAAAAAGAAGAAGATATTTTTATATTAGCAATTTGTATATCTCATATTCTTGTAAGTTGGCTTACTGGCATAGGAAAGAAAGATAAATTAAATATGCTTGTGGATATTGTCGGGTACCTTAGAACGGGGTACCCTGAGCGAACATCAAAGGGGTCGCTTAGGGCCCATAAAAAAACAAAGCTAGAAGATAAGCCATGGGCCCCTCACCCGCCACAACCGGGCCCACCAAGCCCTCCGCCTCACCTCGAGCCTCGCACAGGAGGTCTCGGCGTCCTGACGCAATCTCCGCCTCGCGCGAGGCTCTCCACAGGAGGCCTCGGCAGGGAATGCAATCTCCGCCTCGCGCGAGGCTCTCCACAGGAGGCATCGGCAGGGAACGTAATCTCCGCCTCCCGCGAGGCTCTCCACAGGAGGCCTCAGCAGGGGGTGCATTCTCCGTGTCGCGCGAGGCCTCTCACGGAAGGCCTCGGCAAGGAGTCCGATCTCCGTCTCGCGCGAGGCCTCATTCTCCGTGTCGCTCGAGGCCGGTTCGTCCGCGGCCCGTCGCCCTCCCGCCTCGGCCGACCTTCCCGACAGCACGTCGTGTCTCATTAATACTTCAACCACTCCTACAATCTCCGCCGGACGAGGGCTCGACGCCACGGAATGGCCGACGGGACCTGAGGTCATATCAGCGCCATATCGGCCGGGACAGGGCACGGCGGGGATTACCGTCCACTGTGTTCTGACGCTGTGCCCACGATCAGCGCCCACACTGCATTGGGTCCCGCCATCCCCGCCTCGAAAACAACATCGCACGGACAACTTGTCCCGGGACATCACCGCCTCCAAGCCGACGCACCAAATAAGCCGCCCACTCGGGGCCTCGGCACTGTGCACCAAGGTCTCGGCTATCTTGGGGATCGTGCCCGCCGAGACCCCCCATTGCGGTGCAGCCTCGGCCTCGCGCACAGTCCATCCACAGCGGTTTGCACGTCCACCGCTGCACCCACTTCGAGACGGTCCCAGGGCTCTCACGACGCACAGGATCGGATGGGACTAGCACGCCGCCCCAGTGCTCCAAGGACGGACCACACCGACGACCACGTCGCCACAGGAACAGGCCACAGGGCTCGGACATGCCGCCCCTGTTGGCACGACGCCGCATAGTTAACACATGTACTGTCCTTGTCTTCCCTTCAACTATAAAAGGCGAGGACTTGGGCCACTTAGAAAGGGGGGAACACCTGGTAACACACACACACACGCCCACATCCCAGCCGCCTGAGAGCAACGTCTCAAACGACCCACGCGACACCTTGCCGAGACCTGGGACTAGCTCCCTCTCTCCCTAGCTTGTAACCCCCTACTACGAGCACTTCGGTGCAAGGAATACAAGATCGATCTCTCAGACTGGACGTAGGGCCTCGATTGCCTGAACCAGTATAAACCTTGTGTCTCTTTGCATCACCATCCGGGATCAGGGGCATGCAGTTCATATTTACTGGTTGGTTGAGGACCCCCCGGTCCGAAACACCGACAGTTGGCACGCCAGGTAGGGGCCTCTGCGTGTCAGTTTCGTCATCCCAGCAGGTTCCAGATGGCAGACCCCGTACGACCATTGCGTCTCGGCACGGTGGTGTGGTTTGGGAGTCTAGAGTTCATGTCTCTAGGGCAAGAGTACGACATGGTACTCCTCACTCATCGAGCCCCACCAACCGACGATGAAGTCACGCACCGGCAGCCCAGACGCAGGCGGTGCCCGGGCGGCCGCTCTCGTCGCGCTCGCCAGACACGACGCGAGCAAGACCACCCTGACGCTACGCGAATCCAGGGCGGCACGCCGCTCCCCACCGATATCCTATGGCCAGCTGTTGGCACGGGGTCCCTGGCTTGGGACCTGTCTAGCCTGAGCTTGGACAAAGGAAAATCGCCGGTGGCACACGGCGATGCCCAGCCATCAAGCTCCGCTCCACCACTCCCCGAGGAGCCGATCCCAGCGGAACAGAGTCTGGCGACGGCACCATCCCCATACCCCTTTGGGTTGAGAAATGCTGCCGCCTCTTACGCCTACGCTTACACTACCGCTCACGAGGATCCCTCAGAACGCCACCAGCGCTTCGCTCTCGACCTAAGCACCCACGCCGACTCCTCGGAGGAGGACGAGGCATGGCCTGGAGTGGATTTCTCCGGACTCCATGACCCTGGGGCTATGCGCTAGTTCTTGGCCGCAAGCGATCACTGCTTTGGCTACTCCGACTCCGACGACGAGGGTACTTATGACCCCACTCGTGAATGTTTTCACGTCGGGCTCGGGATGCCGAGAGCGGGCGAGGAGGACGAGGGGGCAGGTAGCCGTTCCCCGCTTCGCCCAGGTATAGGTGCTGCCACACCTCCACGCATTGTCTTGCCGGCCGCACGAAACGAGACCCTCGCCCTTGCGCGACCACAACGCCCAGACCTGGAACAACTCCGTGAGCTCTAGGCCAAGGTCGAACAAGACCAACTCCTGCTGCAGCAGCTTTGAGACACTCTCGAACAGGAACAGCGAGGTCACGGCGAAGGCGAGGGAGCCCGACGGAGGGCCCGCGATGTGCATCACTGCATCCATGACGACGAAGGGAGTGAGCAACCCCCAGTCTTCAATCGCGCTAGCCAGAATGTCACAGCTGTGGCAATGCTGGTCCGTGCAATGCCCGAGCCTTCTACCACGGAGGGGCGGCGGGTCCGCGGCGAGCTTCGGGATCTCCTAGAGACCGCCGTGGTTCAGCAGGCCGAGAGTTCCGCCTCCCGACGGCACGGGGGCGTCTCGAACCTGCCCGCGGCACTGCCTCGGCAGGACAGGGAAGCCTCGGCTCGTCCCAAACCTGCTCGAGCGCCGATAGCCCACAGGGTCCCTGTGCTTCTAGACCGCCTCGGCAATCGACGCGAGGTGCAGGGAGACCATGAGGTGGTCAGCAGGCGACGATGGCACGACAATGAGGGGCCCGCTCGGGGCTACCACCCACACCGAGGCGGTCGCTACGACAGCGAGGAAGACCGTAGTCCTTCTCCTAAACCGCCAGGACCTCGGGTCTTCAGCAGGGCCATCCACGCTGTCCTTTTCCCAGTCCGGTTTCGGCAACCAGCCAATCTCACGAAATATAGCGGCGAGACCAACCCCGAACTCTGGCTTGCCAATTTCCGCCTGGCCTGCTAGCTAGGTGGCGTGGATGATGACCTACTCATCATCCGCAACCTCCCCTTGCTCTTGTCAGACTCAGCGCGAGCCTGGCTCGAGCACCTTCCTCCCTCACAAATCCACGACTAGCGTGACTTGGTTAGGATCTTCGTCGGGAACTTCTAAGGCACATACGTGCGCCCTGGGAATTCCTGGGACCTTAAAAGCTATCGTCAGAAGTCGGACGAGTCTCTCCGAGACTTCATCCGGCGCTTCTCCAAACAGTGCACCGAGTTGCCCAGCGTCGGCGACTCAGAGATCGTCCAGGCTTTCCTCTCCGGCACCACCTGCCGAGACCTGGTTCGAGAGTTAGGTCGGAACATGCTCCTCAACATCGCCACCAACTTCGCCTCGGGCGAGGAGGCTGTCGGAGCCATCTTCCCCGACAGCGACACCAAGGGAAAACGGAGGGACGAGGCCCCCGAGGCCTCGGCCTCCCACCTCCCTAAA